CAAAGTCTGACTGGTGGTCGAAGAGCCTGAGACAATGTGCAGGGAAGCAATGTGCAGGGAAGCATGCTTCTTGGCGCGCACCCTGTGCTGCATCTTGTGCCTACCCAGCCTTGCCGTCAGCATATGACGGCACCAACACATCGAAAGCGTGTTTCTTGGCCGGCATGTGGTTGATGCAGTGCAGATCGCCGTAGGCACGTCCAAGTTTGCGGTGACACTTGCGTGTTCATGTCGGCAGTCAAGTAGCCGAGGATGCGTGGCACACAAGAAAGAGGGATAACAGAAAGCAACCAAGCCACCGCAGTGTGTCAGATCAGGTCGTTTTGCAGCACGTGGGAGCCAAAGGCTGTGTTTTCATTTGAGTCGCCTGACAATGCTGGATCATTGGCTTGACCGGCTGTTTACCGTGATGAGCTTTCGAGTTTATCTGCCTGTCGCTTTCAACATATGGTTCGCGCTCCCGCCAGATTTTAAGGTTGCTCGCGCACAGACTTGCTCGGACAGATATCAGCTTGAACATTTCGGACTTTGTTGATTGGCAGTCGGGCTGCCGGCAAGACCACTGCTTTGCCCCACAAGCGCCAAGCGAGTGGCCAGTGTGCTTGACTGCCACATTGAGCTTGTTGTTGGACAGGGTTGGCAGTGGCGGCCGTCCGCTCGTCGTGTTTTCTTCGCCTCGCAATAGTTATCCATCATTGGTTTCTGGGTTCTGGCTGTGTCTCCCTCTTGGCAAGTCACGCTTGCTGGCCACCAAGCTGAAGTTTGCCTGCCACACTCTGCAGGCGCAGAGATGCGCAGAGGCTATGTGTGTTCTTAATTTGTCGCCAGAGACCAGCAAATCCCAAGGAGGCCACTGCACCAAAGTCCAAAGTCACCTTTTTCGGTGCGAGCATGCAAGCTTTGTTTCCTTTTTGTTGTATGAACTGACTTGCCATGATAGACACGATGCTTGCTACAAAGTCTGACTGGTCGAAACGCCTGAGACAATGTGCAGGGAAGCATGCTTCTTGGCGCGCACCCTGTGCTGCATCTTGTGCCTACCCAGCCTTGCCGTCAGCATATGACGGCACCAACACATCAAAAGCGTGTTTCTTGGCCGGCATGTGGTTGATGCAGTGCAGATCGCCGTAGGCACGTCCAAGTTTGCGGTGACACTTGCGTGTTCATGTCGTCAGTCAAGTAGCCGAGGATGCGTGGCACACAAGAAAGAGGGATAACAGAAAGCAACCAAGCCGCTGCAGTGTGTCAGATCAGGTCGTTTTGCAGAACGTGGGAGCCAAAGGCCGTGTTGTTACTTGTGTCGCCCGACAATGCCGGATCATTGGCTTGACAGGCTGTTTACCGTGATGAGCTTTCAAGTTTATTTGCCCGTCGCTTCCAACATATGGTTCACGCTCCCGCCAGATTTTAATGTTGCTCGCGCACAGACTTGCTCGGACAGATATCAGCTTGAACATTTCGGACTTTGTTGATTGGCAGTCGGGCTGCCGGCAAGACCACTGCTTTGCCCCACAAGCGCCAAGCGAGTGGCCAGCGTGCTTGACTGCCACATTGAGCTTAAGCTGAAGTTTGCCTGCCACACTCTGCAGGCGCAGAGATGCGCAGAGGCTATGTGTCTTTTTAATTTGTCGCCAGAGACCAGCAAATCCCAAGGAGGCCACTGCACCAAAGTCCAAAGTCACCTTTTTCGGTGCGAGCATGCAAGCTTTGTTTCCTTTTTGTTCCATGAACTGACTTGCCATGATAGACACGATGCTTGCTACAAAGTCTGACTGGTCGAAACGCCTGAGACAATGTGCAGGGAAGCAATGTGCAGGGAAGCATGCTTCTTGGCGCGCACCCTGTGCTGCATCTTGTGCCCGGCACCAACGCATCAAAAGCGTGTTTCTTGGCCGGCATGTGGTTGATGCGTTGCGAGTGCAGATCGGCGTAGGCACGTCCAAGTTTGCGGTGACACTTGCGTGTTCATGTCGTCAGTCAAGTAGCCGAGGATGCGTGGCACACAAGAAAGAGGGAAAGCAGAAAGCAACCCAGCCACCGCAGTGTGTCAGATCAAGTCGTTTTGCAGCCAAAAGCGTAAAGCATGGAGCCGTCGTGTTTTCAAGGAAGGCAGGTCATTGGTGTCACACGCCCGATCCTGACAGCCCCGGCCTTGATGCAGGCGTCGTGGAAGGCGTGGCCGCAGGGCAGCTGAGCGGCTCGTGGGAGCCGAAGGCCGTGTTTTCACCTTTGTTGCCCTGGCAATATCCGATCATTTGCACAAGCTGTTTTACCCTGATGTGCTTTTCAATGTCCCATGCCTGTTGCTTCCAACGTACGCCTCCCGCTCCCGCCCGGTTTGAAGGTTGCTCGCGCGCAGACTTGCTTGCCCTACTTTGCGCGTGCAGATGCTTAGGCTTTGTCGCGCGTGACCAATGTCCAGAGCGCCCGCTGCACCCGTGTCTCAAGTCGCTGCTGTTTGAGCCGTCAGCTCGAGCTGCAGTGGTTCACCACGGCATTGCAGTGCGGGTGCGTGACCTGTAGCAAGCAGTGACGAAATGCTAACTGGCCGCTCTCTTTTCTACAGGTGTTGCTCAAAAGTTCAGGTTCAGGGGTGCCTTGCCATCAGCATGCAACCGCACCATAGCTCGGCAAAGGACGCTGCGAAGACAATAGGAAGCAGACGATTGCGTCAGATCAGGTCGAATTGCAACACGTGGCAGACAAAGGCCGTGATTTCACCTTTGTTGCCCTGGCAATATCCGATGATTTGCACAAGCTGTTTACCCTGATGTGCTTTTCAATGTCCCATGCCTGTTGCTCTCCAACCATGTCTCATGCTCCCGCCAGGTTTGAAGGGTGCTCGCGTGCCAGATGCTTAGGCTTTGTCGCGTGTTTGCCAATGTGCTGGGCATGGGCAGCAGGTATCCCTTTGGAAGCACCCCCCGTGCCATGGATGGTCTGCCACCTACACATGGTCCTCCCAAGCCTGCCGAAGGCATGGGCGAAGTTTAGCAGGTCCGGCACTACCTTTGTTGTTACCACCTCCGCGTGTAAGGGAGAGGAGTGGCGACCTCGGCGTCATCGCGCGACATGCGCTTCCCCGAGAAAGTGGAAGTGGGGTGGTTGCGCTTCGAGCCACCCCATGAACTATCTGGATGGGTGGTGATGAGGATAGCCAGAGGATGAGGGCTACGAGGGCATTTTGCCCGTCGCAAATCGTTTGTGTAGGCAAATTAGTTTCGGCGGGAGACAGCCCCGGCTGTCACGCATATGAGGCTGAGGCGGCAGCTTTCTTTGACTGCCATTTTTGAGGAAGGGGCGTCTACCGCTGACTTCGCACTGGCCACGCCTAAGGTGATGTGGTCTACCTGGCCCATTGCCTGCCAAAACAAGCCCCGTGCAGTGGCTGCGGGAGCTGCTCGGCTTGAATGTCCATATCACGACACAGTCTCCTTAGAACATTAGTCACCGCCATAGGGCCAGGAACGAACACCACCCTTTCCATTTGCCCCATCAAACAAAAGGTAAACGGCGCGCCCCCCTTCCAGCTACGGTAGGGGGGATTTGCTGTATTGGAGCGAATCGGTGAAGTATTCCAAAATCTGTCGGGAAAAACCGTCAGAAGCTGATGCGAGTCTTTGCCTTTCCAGTGGGCGTGTAGAGAGCCGTGTGATGCGCCTGAGATTGGCGTTCCCGCTGCGTCGCGCATGCAACTGCTGCCAAACCTCAGAGCAACACGGCGCCGCCCTGATGCCCAGGGCCGCGACATGCGCGCTATTCTGAGAAAAGGCCCAGAATGCTCAGAGCAACACGATGCAATTCTTGAAAAGCTTTCCGTGCTTTCCAGTCGAGTCTCTCGAGGCAGGTGGGACATTTCACCCTAGTATTTTGAGCGTGCCAAAAGGAGCGTGCTAGTGTTGCCCAGCGTGGTATCAGGGTACAGCAAGACGTTCAAGGCCGACACGCAATGAAGCCGAAACGCAAGGCACACATGGCTGTGTGCGTGAGAGGGTATCCATTTTGGGATTGTTTAAAGGGAAGCCAAGTGGTAAACCACCTTGAGTCATTCTTTTCGGGGGTCCTATTTTAACACAAATCCACATGTTGGGGTATCAGTCGTGTTATTTTAATGGGCAACCAGGCGCAGCATTTATGCACTGTTCCGGTCGTATACTTTCGAGTGGTAGCCAATGTCCGGAGCACCTTGCATTTGTTTTCACGCTTTCCTTCTTTTGGCCTGTGAAACATTGATAGGCCCATCTTTTTTAGAGCTGCTGGACACAACATGGCACACACACACACACATCCCGAGGACTTGGGGAAACGCGGGTAAACCTGATCCAAGCTGAGTCAACCATTCCGAGCTGTTTCTTTTGAATTCCGAAACGCGCGCCCTGAAAGGCCCCTCCTAGTTCTGACTATGCTGGGGCTGCAAGTGAGCTTCCCTTGCATGGGACAGGGAATCCAGGCGTTTGAATTTGAGCTAAATGGGTATATGTCAAAATCAAAGTAGGGACCTAACAATTTTATGTTACCTCTAAGACCAACTGTTGTGGTTTGCTTTGTACGCGCATTCCTTGGACAGCTCCAAATATCAGCACCGAAGTAGCGCGCATGTACACATGAGTTCTTTATGTGTTTCAATTGTGGCTCAATGGGATGATTCCAACCATTCCTTTCAACCAGTGTTGTTTTCAGACGTCAGGTGTTTCCCCTGTTTTGTTGTTTCTGGAAGCAAGGATGCCGGAACAGAAAGAAGGTATCCTGCGACTTGTTGTCTTGGCAATAATCAGATTGCGTGAATTGCTGTTGGATGATGGACGGCCAATTAATATAGAATGCCTGTTTGGATTTCGGCAGATTTGACGTGTATATGTGTTGTTATTTATTATGTATTTGCCCAGCTTATAAGGCTCGCATGTGGGGCATTAGGGGTATGCGCCGAAACTACGGGTGCTGATCTCGTTCCCCCCCCCTCTCTCTCTTGTGTCTCCTTGTTGTTTTTTCGACCTTGCCAGCTGTACAAGTCGCTGGGAATGAGTGGCGTTGACGTGGCTGGGATTTACAACCCGGAGCGGTTCACGTCAAAGGCCAACGCGTTCGGTCTGCAGCCAGGGTTCGCGATCGACCTGACGCTGCAGAAGGATGACAAAGGCAACCATTGGGACCTGTCGAAGACCGAGCATCAGAAGAAGCTCAAAGGGCTGTTGTGGAAGGAGAAGCCCGCGTTCTTGATCGGGTCACCACCTTGTGGGCCTTTCAGCCCACTGCAGAATCTGAGCAGTCACAGGCGCACTGCTGCCCAGAACGAAGCCATTTTGGCGGAGGGCAGGTTGCACCTTAACGTGGCGGCTGAGGCGTACATGGAGCAACACCGGAACGGCCGATACTTCCTTCACGAGCACCCGAAGCCCTCTAGAAGTTGGAGAGAGCCATGCATCGAAAAGCTACAAGCCATGGACGGCGTCTACACGGTGCAGGCTCCGATGTGCAAATGGCACATGAAGGCTGAAGATGGGCAAGGAGTTGGATTGGTGCGGAAAGAAACGTGCTACGTCACCAACTCCGCCGAAATGGCTAAGGCACTTGAAGGGCGCTGTGAAGGGCGCCACAGACATGTCCATCTGATCAATGGGCGTGCTCGTGAGGCACAAGTTTACCCGCCAAAGCTGGTGAATGCGATTTTGAAAGGAATCAAGAAGGAGCTCATGAACAAGGGCGAGATCAGTGAATTGTCTTCGATCACTGCAGGTCCGTCGCCCGACGAGACAAGCAGTGAGCCAACGGAACACTTCTTCAACCCCGACGTCAAGACAGAAGGCGTCTTCGACTCCGTAACCGGCACGCCTCTGAAGACCGACAAGGTTTGGGAGGCGAGACGCGAAGAGATGACATGGGTGAAGAAGCAAGACCTGTACGAAGTGGTGGATGAGCAGGTCTGCTGGGATGAGACTGGTCGAGGCCCGATCGGCCTGAAGTGGGTTGATCGAAATAAAGGAGACGCCCTGAATGAGAACTACAGGAACTAGGACCACGGCTCATATTCCGCCGTGACTCGAAATGGCAATTCGCTGTCTCAAGTCAAGCCTGGAACGTGATTTCCACTGGGACATGCCAACGAATCTCCACCTTGAATGGTTTCCATGCGCTTGCGCGCTCTCTCCAAGCAGGGTTACCATTTTCGCTAGTTTTTGCCAGTGAAAAGAAGGATTTTGTTCCTCGCAAACTAGCGTGAAATCGGCAAGGTGCACTGGTTTTTCTCACTCAAACACCGACCGCGTTTCTGATTACAGCAAACCTTCCAAATCAGCCAAGAACTCGCCAGGGCTTCGAGCACCTAGCGTTTGCCGCCAGTTCCACTGGAAAACCTGCTGTTTCACAGCAGGGTGGAACTGGCTAGATCCGTCAACTTTAATCTTGGCACACACCTTCGGTGGCAGCCAAGTCTTAAGAGACTGCCAGGTCCTGTCCAAAACCTGCGTGGGAGGCAAACGCAAGCAAGGACCGAGACAGTCGAACTCCAAAGGGAACCGATGAGGAATCAGCACAACCTCAGCCACAAAAGCCAGGAACGGGACCACGTCAAAAAGAGAGTCTAGATATATCGGACAAACCTCAAAGAACGGACCAAGGCTTGAGTGACCACGCAGCCAGCGCGAACAGCCAGCGCAACGAAGAACCAAGATCAGACCCAAAGCCAGACGAGCGTCTTCACACAAGAACATCTGAGCCAAAACTAACAGCGAACGTTGATGCAGTCCCCACGAACGACAACATCCCCCCCCACCCCCCCACCCACCCCCCCCACCCCCCCAACCCCAACCAATGAGACCGACGAAGCCACAGTCAGAAAAAATGCTGTTTGACGCACGGCGGAATATAAGCCGTGGTCCAACTACAGGAGCAGGTTGGTGGTGAGAGAGATAAAGCGATCTTCGGTTCCCTTGGCGGAGTTCGAATCTTTCTCGGCGATGCCACCGTTGGCGGCACTCAAGGTCCTGTGCTCACTTCTTGTCAGCAAGAAGGTGAGCAAGTCGGGGCAGCCTTTGAAGTTGCGGCTGACTGACATCAGCAGAGCGCACTTTTATGGACAGGCTCGCCGACGGGTGTTTTGCAACTTGCCAGAAGGAGAGGAGATCGCTGGCAAGTGCGCGCTCCTGAAGCGCAGCATGTACGGCACCCTGGACGCCGCTTCAATATGGCAACAGACGTATGCTGATGTTCTGAAGAAGAACAACATCAAGCAGTGTGTTGCTTGGCCTGCGTTGTTCTACCAGGAGGATAGCGACCTGAGGTTCATGGTGCACGGAGACGATTTCATCTCCCTGACTCCGCTCAAAACTTTCTTGAGAAGGTCCTGAGCGAGAAGTTCGAGTACCGGGTGGATGGCCAGATCGGCCCCGAAGCCACAGATGGCACAGCTATGTGTGTTCTCAACAGCGTGCTGGAGTTCAACAAGGACACCGGCGTCCTCACTTATGAGGCGGACCCACGACACGCGGAACACATCATCCGTGCCCTGAACTTGGAGGAGAGCAAGTCGGTATCTACTCCTGCGGAGAAACAGAAGCTCACTGACGTGCTTGCTGCTGAAGGCCTTCCTGAGCTCGATGAAACTGCGACTGCGCAGTACAGATCGCTCACCATGCGAGCGGCCTACTTGAGTATGGACCGCGCTGACCTCAGCGAGGCGGTCAAATCCCTGGCAAGGCACATGAAGTCGCCTACTTCATACTCCTGGGGGAGACTCAAGCGGCTCGGGCGCTATCTCGTTGGGGTTCCTCGAGTGCAGCAGCTGTTCAAGCCACAGCGGATGTTCACCAGCATCCGTGTCTACTGCGACAGCGATCATGCAGGCGACCTCAAGAGTCGCAAGAGCACTACGGGGCTCATCTGCATGCTCGGCACTCACTGTGTCAAGCACTCAAGCAACCTTCAGGGTACGGTGAGTTTGAGCTCGGGTGAGAGCGAGTTCTACGCTCTGGTGAAAGCCGGGGCAATGGGGCTCGGCTTACAGGGCATGCTGGATGAGTGGCAGATCCCCACCAGGATCGTGTTGCTTTCTGACAGCTCCGCAGCAAGGGGAATGGCTTCACGGCGTGGCTTGGGTAAAGCCCGTCACGTCCAGACCAGATACCTGTGGATACAGGAGCGAGTACAGAACAGAGATGTAGAGGCGCAGGCAGTCGGCACAGATCGCAACCTTGCAGATTTGTGCACAAAGCCTCTGCCCGCAGACGTGTGTCGCAGACACATGGACACTATGGGCCAGGTCATCACCGCCGGCCGCAGTCTGACTGCAAAGCAGTTGGTTTAAGCTGCGCTGTTCATGTGTGCTGTTCCACATAGCGCGCTCCGCGTTCGTTTTGGCTCAAGAAAAGGAGCGCTGCATGCCGCCGCGCCAGTTTGCCGGTCATATTGGATTTTCAGTTGAAGGCCGCTCCAGATATTTCTGACGAGAACTTCTTGGGCAGTTGCCGTCAGTGGACATTCGCAGCGAGTTGCTTCGGCAAGGTCGCAAAGCTTCGTTAGAACATGTTAGCCAGGCCGGATGTGATGTCAGTTTGCCGCCAGGAATGCTGCGTGAGTTTGGACCTACTCGCAAGGTCTGAACATGGACCGTGCAGTTTGACCTTGGTATTGTAGATTGCAACCTGATCTCTACCAGTATTTCATTTTCTGGCCAAGGCTTTTTCTGGTTGGAATGCTGGCCGATTTGGTTGTTGGACATGCATCGGGATGCGCATGCTGCCCAATTGCACATGATATGGGTCTCAACATGGGGGGCAACCCCCCAAACCAATGTCCAAATTCTGATTTCTCGCATTGCTGCAATGAATTTGGCCCAAAGCGCTTAATTTACCAAATGACCTTTGCATGGCATTGGTGCGGATTTCTTTCGCTGTGACGTGACCAAAGCTGTAAGAGTGGCTTGGCTGCAAGATTGGGCTGCGCTAAGGTCCCCCAAAAAGAGCTGCCTCTACACAGGAGAGTTTTGTTGAGTTCCATCTTAAGAAGCACGGGGAGTTCGGGCAACCAGAGGCTTCGCAGAAGAGGCTGACAGAGATTGTGCTTGTTGCTGAGCAGCAACGCCACATTCGGGGCAAAACACAAGCCACGCTCGCTCAGGATTCTTTGGACGACAGGACAGCCCTTCATGGGAGTTTTGGTCTTGAGTCTCAGTAGCTTTGTCATATCATTCACATTCAATGTTTGTTTCATGCACTGGCCATATGAGGAATCAGGTTGCGCAGACATCGCAACATGAGAGTCGGAGGGGTTTTGTTTTGCCCTTGCGCGCACTTGATTTTGCAGCACGCTCATACACTTTCCACAAGTTGAGTAAATGTAGTTGCTGGTTTCCGCATGAATTTGCAAGCAGGTCGAACACCCTGCATGCCATTGTGCTGCTTTGATCATTGACAGGTTGCCGCAAGGAGCAAGCAAGAGCAATCCTCTTTCGCCTACTTCAGAGTAATATTTTGGCAACATGTTGATTGTTGGATTGCTCATTCGGTTGCCCAGAAGTTCAAGAGGTCCGCGCAGGACATTCTGCGGTTGTCTTTTGTTGAAAGGCAGGATATTCCGAACCCCTGCAAGACAGCAGCAGGACAGGCCCGAATGCTGACCAGAATGTTTGTTGGAGCTAGCCCCTTTCTCATTGCACCAAGACGTCCACTCCGATCTGCGAAGCCACTCTTCTTTTTTTTTTTTGCACACACACACATGCACACATGCACACATGCACACCAGATTTGAGCGCACATCTTCTAGGATGCCTAGGCCACAGGGTCGTTCCTTCGTCGCAAGAGCCGCAGGGCGCGAAATCGCCCAACTCACAGCTGCACCGTCAGGCCTTGGGCTTGATGGCTGCGACGTCGTTGCTGGGGGTAGCCTCTTTTGGGTTGTGGAGGGGAATCCAAAGAGGAAAGCCAATTGTGAGGAGGGGGCGTGAGTGTTCCACCCCTCTGGAGACAGGATGGGCGCCATTTTGTCGGAGCCTGTCACGGCCATGGTCAGGATCTGAGGACCTAAGCTGAGGAGTTAGCGCTTCCAGGCAAGCCATCATAGGTACAACATGATGTAAAACCTGGCAAAATACTCGCGGTTGCCTACAGAGGCAACTAGAAGTACTGGGCAGCACGGTTTTTCTTCGTACCTTACGTCTACCCCCCATTTGCTAACAGGGAACCTGCCCCCAAGTGTAACAGGGAACCTGCCCCCAAGTGTGACATCAGATATGTGCTCAGGCCCGAGGCAATTTTGGCGCTTAAGTGGCGCAGGGGGCGGGGGCAGGGAATGTTCCTTCCGGCCGCTGGTGGGGGCATTCGGAGATGGCAGTGCCCAAGTGAGCAGCTCCGACACCCCTGATGGCTGTTTAGAAGGTGGTTCTACCTGGTTTGATGCCGCTATGGTAGGACTCATCCATCTAATCTTGACCATGTTGGCAGAAACAAGGGTCAGCGAGTTGTGGGTGCTCAAGGTGCTGTTGATGCCGCAGGTGCTTTTCCGGCTCTGGGAAACCGGGCGATGGCGCACTCCTGCAGCTTTTTGTTTTCGATCCGATGTGTTTCAAAACGGTATGGACCAAGCCGAAATGGGCGGAGCCCAGCCATTCCGAACTGACCCAAAAGAACACCGTGCCATCCGCCAGTTTTGAAACGAGAGCACTTAGGTGGTGGAACGGTCCTCCTCCTCCTGCTGGTCTGCGGCAGCTGTAACCATGCAAGGGCGCGCCTGTTTTTTTTCTTTCGAGATTCATCGAAAACCACTGGATGCACAGAATGTGGCCGCTTTCTGCCCCTCCCCAATTCGCTCGGCATGTTGATCATCACTTCTAGCTTGCTTGGTTCTAGACAGTTTTTGGTGGAGCCTGCGCAAATCACCGGTTTTGATTACACTACTTGATTTCATGATGCCCTGAGAGTCAAAACATCCCATCCAAACTGCAACCAAGCCGGTCCCCTTGTGGGCTGTCAAACATTTTTTTCTTTTGGGGGGGGCTCAGATTGCAAGGAACCCAGGGTAGACCAGAGCCGCGATCAGGGAGTTGGCTTCAAAGCCGTTAGTCACCTCAGGGTGTAGAGGATACATATCCACTAGTACTTAGATGCCACTTGAGGTCAGTTTGGTTGGAAGAGGCCTGGTTACCTTCGGTAAAGCAGCTGAGGTAGCTCAACATTCCCGGCCAAACCCTGGGTGTTTTTAGAAGACGTATGGCAGCAGGTTCCATTTCAAGCGCATGTTTGGTCAGGGCAGTCATGCTTGCAGGCGTCCGCAAGGCATCTCAATCAAAATCAGCAAGCATGTCCTAAGGGCCCAAATTATCGCCTTGCCAAGGATATGCCTTTACCAAGCCTCAAGCTTCCCCATGCCTTGCCTTCGCGTGCCATGCTAGGTGGAGAAGGACGCATGAGGACGCCCACATCCTGTGCAACCTGGAGTCTGGCGGTTCGCAAGGCGCGGCAAAAGTCCTCCGATCACCAAACTGGTGACTGCCGGGGAGGAGAGGCTTTGTGTTTGTGATGGCCGGTAGCAGCGCCATGGAAGGTCGAGCAGAGGTGAGGAAGTTGAACTTGGGTTCTCAAAGGTCCTGGATGGTTTTTTGTTTATGTATCCCTGAAACCCATGGTCCATCAGAACACATATGGGTCTTAAAATGACACTGGACCGCAGGTTTTGGATCTGGTCTCCATAGCGTTCCATTTGGGGTTACCCGGTTTTTGACCGCATGACATGTGTACAAGACTCGCATCTCTTAGCAACCGGCAAGACAAAGCTGTCAGGTTCTGGAGGGGATCGAATCACAAGCAAAGGCAGCGGGAAAGCCCCGGAATTCTTCACCGCAAAACATGGAGGAGGGCGTCTGAAAACTGGAAGCGCCCTTCTGATGTCTGAAAGGCGAGTTACAGGGAAGCTCACGATGTTCAACTACGACCGGCCCCATACCATGAGAGCCAGCCCTTATACCCTCCCACCAACTAACATGGAAGTGCAAAGAGGCCCTTTCCAAGAGGAAAGTAGTCTTTCTATAGGGGGTGGGAGGGTAAGAGTTAGGTTACAGGGAAGCACTCCAGTTCCCGACCTTTGGTAACCCCAAGTGGAAAAAAGTCGTGGGCCTGGTCTCCGGAAGGCTTCGCAGCCGGAGCGATGCGCCAGGCTCCGGAGTCTTCGCAGTGCTGGACGGCCGCACTCCCAGAGCTGAAAAACACAGCCGCGTTTGTTCTGACTCCATCGCAGGCTCAGGCGGAAACGCGCGGCAAGCAAGGGCTTGAGTTTTTCAGGGGTAGAGGATTGGTTGTTCTGCCATTTTCTTCGTGGGTACAGTGTTGGGGTGTTTGATCCCAAGCGAAGAGTTTTCGGTACGCTGATTCAGTTTGCCGTCACCCGATGTGTTTGGGCCTTGTTGGCAAAGTGGCGAACATTGGCTGGACTGTGCGAGTAAAAAAAGGCCCAGGGTCGCAAAGGGCAACAAATTGAAAGATGTTTGCAAGGAAGGGGTTTGATGTTGGAGGAATTGCCAAGAAAGATGTTGGCAAGGAGGACGTTCTTTGTGTAAGAATTGGATCGGCCATCAGAATGTCTCGAGGGTGCGTTTGATCCAACACCGCTAGCTCCCTGTAGGTGCAACTCGCGAGGCCCAGAGGTTTTGGGGGTCTGCTTTGAGACTCGCTTTGTGGGTCAAAGCCGTTTTGGGATCCCAGTTTGGGTAGGTGAATTCACCACCCATTGTAGAACCTATCTTAGTGGTTGGATTGAATCGGATGTTCACTGGGGGCACGGGCTTTGGATTTTGAGCCATGGCGCTACCTGGCAGCTTTGCACCAGGAAAAGCGCGCGACCTCAGCGCCCAAAAGAGGCCATAGATTTCACGCCCACGCTGGGACCAGGATTATGTTTCTTTGCGGTCTGGACCAAAAGGGCCTCGGCTTTTTGTCAGTGCCGTTCGGGTGTGTGCAAACCGTTCGGTGGTGCGCGCGCTTGCGCCCCAAGAGCAGCCTGACCACATGGCCTAAGTCAATCCTACACCCCAAATCTGCCCAATGGACTCTGAGCCAGGCTGATCTGGAAACAAATCGAGTCCAAATGCCGGACAGCAGTACGGTAGTGGTTTCCCTGCTTGTAGTGGTGATTTCGGATTTGCCTTAGGGGTCCTCGATTTTGAACCCTATGTCCGCCCAATCTCTGAGCTCGAAGCGGAAAGGTCATCCGCCTTGCTAGCTGAAGCGCCTGACGCAAGCTGAATCCGGACCACAAGCAAGCATTCCTCTTGGGAAACCTGCTTTTGGGGTTTCATGTGAGCCAGGGTCAAGGTTTTTGCAATCTACTATCTATTCAGTGAAGGGGACGGCATTTTCGTACACTCACCAGATTCACCAAATTCAGGTTAGCTGAGGTCACGATGAACATTCACTGTGGGTCATGCTACTTTGCAGGGGAATACACCAAGGGGCCAAGTCAAAGCATTGGTGCAAGCCAACTGAGACCTTTCCTGCTTGGAAGAGTCATCTGAACCGTTGGACAATTCACAGTTGCGGATTTGCGTGCGATTTCATGTGCATGTCTAGTTCTCAGGGCTTTTGAATTTTCATGGGGAATCCCCTCCATGGTTCGTGACTTCAATTTCGATGTCCAGAAAAGGGTCCACCCACTTGAGCATTTTTGTTTGTAGCCTCCTTTTGGTTGGCTTTAATGGGAAGCAAAGGGGCCCAGCAATTGAATGCATACCCAAACGTCGAAGGCACCTTTTACGGGGTTGGAGTGGAAACCAACGAACAACAACAGGCACAGTGGACCAGTGCGAACCAATGGAGAACGCCGGGAGTGATCAATGGAACCAATGAGAAAATCCGTAGCCCAGGGAAAGATCAATGGAACCAATAAGAACCAATAATAAACGAACCAATTGGCAAACCTAGGGAATGATCAATGGAACCGATGAGAAAACCCAACAACCCAGGGAATGATCAATGGAATAGGTGAGAAAACCCAATAACCCAGGGAATGATCAATGGATCGATGAGAAAACCCAATAACCCAGGGTTCCATGCAGAATAAATCCTGGAGTGGTTTTTCCAATTAGGATTGATCATTTTGGAACCAGGAGAACCAATGAGAACCAATGAGAACCAATGAGAACCAATGGAAAAACCCAGGGAATGATCAAAGGAACTAATAAGAAAACCAAGGAAACCAATGGAAAACCATGGAAAGCCAACAGAAAGCCAATGAGAAAACCAACGGAAAACCAATGGAAAACCATGGAAAGACAACAGAAAGCCAATGAGAAAACCAACGGAAAACCAATGGGAAACCATGGAAAGCCAACAGAAAGTCAATGAGAAAACCACTGGAAAACCAATGGAAAACCATGGAAAGCCAACAGAAAGCCAATGAGAAAACCAACGGAAAACCAATGGAAAACCATGGAAAGCCAACAGAAAGCCAATGAGAAAACCAACGGAAAACCAATGGAAAACCATGGAAAGCCAACAGCAAGAAAGGAAAACCAATGGAAAACCATGGAAAGCCAACAGAAAGCCAATGAGAAAACCACTGGAAAACCAATGGAAAACCATGGAAAGCCAACAGAAAGCCAATGAGAAAACCAACGGAAAACCAATGGAAAACCATGGAAAGCCAACAGAAAGCCAATGAGAAAACCAACGGAAAACCAATGGAAAACCATGGAAAGCCAACAGAAAGCCAATGAGAAAACCACTGGAAAACCATGGAAAACCATGGAAAGCCAACAGAAAGCCAATGAGAAAACCAACGGAAAACCAATCAAAAACCATGGAAAGCCAACAGAAAGCCAATGAGAAAACCACTGGAAAACCAATGGAAAACCATGGAAAGCCAACAGAAAGCCAATGAGAAAACCAACGGAAAACCAATGGAAAACCATGGAAAGCCAACAGAAAGCCAATGAGAAAACCAACGGAAAACCAATGGAAAACCATGGAAAGCCAACAGAAAGCCAATGAGAAAACCACTGGAAAACCAATGGAAAACCATGGAAAGCCAACAGAAAGCCAATGAGAAAACCAACGGAAAACCAATGGAAAACCATGGAAAGCCAACGGAAAGCCAATGAGAAAGCCAACGGAAAACTAATGGAAAACCATGGAAAGCCAACAGAAAGTCAATGAGAAAACCACCGGAAAACCAATGGAAAACCATGGAAAGCCAACGGAAAGCCAATGAGAAAACCAACGGAAAACCAATGAAAAACCATGGAAAGCCAACAGAAAGCCAAGGAGAAAACCAACGGAAAACCAATGGAAAGCCATGGAACGCCAACAGAAAGCCAATGAGAAAACCAACGGAAAACCAATGGAAAACCATGGAAAGCCAACAGAAAGCCAATGAGAAAACCAACGGAAAACACCAATGGAAAACCATGGAAAGCCAACAGAAAGCCAATGAGAAAACCAACGGAAAACCAATGGAAAACCATGGAAAGCCAACAGAAAGTCAATGAGAAAACCAACGGAAAACCAATGGAAAACCCTGGGAACGCCAACAGAAAGCCAATGAGAAAACCAACGGAAAACCAATCGAAAACCATGCAAAGCCAACGGAAAACCAATGGAAAACCATGGACAGCCAACAGAAAGCCAATGAGCAAACCAACGGAAAACCAATGGAAAACCAATGGAAAACCAATGGAACACCATGGAAAGCCAACAGAAAGCCAATGAGAAAACCAACGGACAACCAATGGAAAACCATGGAAAGCCAACAGAAAGTCAATGAGAATACCAACAGAAAACCAATGGAAAACCATGGACAGCCAACAGAAAGCCAATGAGAAAACCAACGGAAAACCAATGGAAAACCATGGAAAGCCAACAGAAAGCCAATGAGAAAACCAACGGAAAACCAATGGAAAACCATGGAAAGCCAACAGCAAGCCAATGAGAAAACCAACGGAAAACTAATGGAAAACCATGGAAAGCCAACAGAAAGCCAATGAGAAAACCAACGGAAAACCAACGGAAAACCAATGGAAAACCATGGAAAGCCAACAGAAAGCCAATGAGAAAACCAACGGAAAACCAATGGAAAACCATGGACAGCCAACAGAAAGCCAATGAGAATACCAACGGAAAACCAATGGAAAAATGGAAAGCCAACAAAACCATGGAAAACCAACGGAAAGCCAATGGAAAACAGAAAGCCAATGAGAAAACCAACGGAAAACCAATGGAAAACCATGGAAAGCCAACAGAAAGCCAATGAGAAAACCAATGGAAAACCAATGGAATTCCATGGAAAGCCAACAGAAAGCCGACCCATGGAGAACCAACAGAAAGCCAATGAGAAAAACTGGAAAACCAATGGAGATGGAAACCCGGAAACGAAAGCCAACGGAAAACCAATGGAAAACCATGGAAAGCCAACAGAAAGCCAATGAGAAAACCAACGGAAAACCAATGGAAAACCATGGACAGCCAACAGAAAGCCAATGAGAAAACCAACGGAAAACCAATGGAAAACCATGGAAAGCCAACAGAAAGCCAATGACGGAAAACCAACGGAAAACCAATGGAAACCATGGAAAGCCAAGCCAGAAAGCCAATGAGAAAACCAACGGAAAACCAATGGAAAACCATGGGAAAGCCAACAGAAAGCCAATGAGAAAACCAACGGAAAACCAATGGAAAACCATGGAAAGCCAACAGAAAGCCAATGAGAAAACCAACGGAAAACCAATGGAAAACCATGGAAAGCCAACAGCAAGCCAATGAGAAAACCACTGGAAAACCAATGGAAAACCATGCCAATGAAACACCACTGGAAAACCAATGGAAGACCCATGGAGAACCAACGGAAAGCCAATGAGAAAACCACTGGAAAACCAATGGAAGACCCATGGAGAACCAACGGAAAGCCAATGAGAAAACCAACGGAAAACCAATGGAAAACCATGAAAAGCCAACAGAAAGTCAATGAGAAAACCAACGGAAAACCAATGGAAAACCCATGGAGAACCAACGGAAAGTCAATGAGAAAACCACTGGAAAACCAATGGAAGACCCATGGAGAACCAACGGAAAGCCAATGAGAAAACCACTGGAAAACCAATGGAAGACTCATGGAGAACCAACGGAAAGCCAATGAGAAAACCACTGGAAAACCAATGGAAGACCCATGGAGAACCAACGGAAAGCCAATGAGAA